CCTCAGTTTAGGAACCTGAAGCTCTGAGAGGGTCAGGAGCCTGCTGAGGTCACAAGGCACACATGTGAGGGAGCTGGCGCAGGACTGAGATCTGGCTCCACACTCTTTACTCCTGAGAACCCTACTGTGAGGCCTGGAGAGTTGTTAGAACTGGGCCAGGCTTGTGTAAATAGGAGAGAACAACTAATGGGATGGTGAGACCTTTTATTATTATTATTGTGAGGTGTAACCATTACTTTATTTTCTGTGAATCTAAGGTTGACAGCACAATATCTTTCACAGAGGCTGAGCATATCCTATAAAATTCAAAGCTGTTATCATTTACATTAGGATTTGAGATTTTAAAATAAAGGGGAATAAGAAAAATATATACAAGAAAACAGTGGCTGTGTCTCCTAATTGTTGCCACTCTGCCCTTGAAGTGGTCCTGTGGTGATCTTTCTGCCTAGTTGAATTTCTCTTCACAACTCTATGGCAGATGAGGGGCCCTCCCTGAGGACCAGCTCATGGTGCCTGGGCTGGGAAGATATTCCTCTTGGGACTAGGATGCATATCCATTGCTCACAGAGCAATGTGTGGCTGGACACTTGGGCTGTAGCTGAGCTTTGGTATAGAGAGTCTCTGGGCTGTCCTAAAGAAGGCTGTTTTCAACATCTTCCTTGAATGCTTTTTTCTGTCTCTTGTTTTCAGGGGAATTCACTGCAGGATTTGTTCAGTTCAGGGTATTTAATAATGAGAGAGCAGCCAATGCCTTGTGTGCTGGAATGAGGGTCACCGGATGTAACACTGAGCATGTGAGTCTCTGTGGGACCCAAGGGGCTGTAAGATTGAATGTATCATTGGGTGCTGTATGTGTGTTGAGTGTGATGCAGCTGTGGTGTGAGTGTATGTGTGGGGGGGACATTTCCTTGCTTATTGTTGGGAGAGCTGTGGGACCCTTTATGCAGGTACAGACATCCTGTACCTTTGGGGACCAACATCAAGGTCTGAGGCTTCCAAAGAACCACTGCTGTGTGCTCAGCCTTGGGGATGACACATGCAATTTCCTGGACTTGGAGTCAGGCTCCTATGCAGAAACATTCTGTGGGAGCCTTTAGGAGCTGAGGTTCCTAGAGAAACACAAAGTATTGTCTGTCTTTAACTGAGGTTCAGCGTCCAGGGGAAAACTGGGCCTCCCTAACCCTGGCCAGGTCTACACAGATACACACTATGTTGGGGTCACTGGGAGGGTCCTGTGTATCACCTTCTAGAAACATATCTTAGGCCATCCCCCCTTGCACCTATAGGGATAAACAATGGGTATTGATGAATTCCAAAATTTTTAAGTTGCATATCAGGTGAATACAAAGGATGGGAAGGGAAGAAGTCTAGAATAACCTTATGGTTTTCATTTGGGTGAATGTCTCATTTATTAGGTCAGGGTGTCTGGATGATGAATAGTTGGGTCACATGGAGTTTGAGAGTCCTATGAGGAGATCCAGGTTGAAATTGAGGTTATCAGCACAAGAACATCTGGACAGGAGATGGAGACTTGTGGTCAGAGTGAATTTTTGGTGCCTGAAGCCAACATGGTCATGCAATTTATAAGGGACAGGAAGATCTGTCTTCTACTGAGAAGCATCACTTAAAGAATTCCCAAAGGAAAAGTCTAGCCAGCGAATCTGAGAACAAATGTTCAAGAAGGTTGGAGGACAGTCAGGAGGCAACAGTGAGGTCACTAAAGGTGAAGGTGTAGAGGTTTCTATGGAGGAATAGTTCAACACTGCCAGTGGAGTGTCTGATGAGGACCAAAGACTCCACTGGATGTGGCCATTAGGATGTCATCAGCCTCACTAGCAGATCTGTGTTCCTCTTCCTGTTTCCCAGCACTGCATCGGTGGAGGAGGGTTCTTCCCAGAGGGCAATCCCAGGCAGTGTGGGGATTTCTCTGCCTTTGACTGGGATGGATATGGAACTCATAGTGGTTACAGCTGCAGCCGGGAGATAACGGAGGCATCTGTGCTTCTGTTCTACTATTGAGAGTGCTGTGGTGTGGCCCAGCCCTCTTCTCCCAACCAGGAATCCCAAGGATGGAGAATAATTTACCAACTGGATTGCTAATGATATAAGAGAAAAGAATAAATCATAATGATCTAAGTCTTGGTGTTTCTGTGAATTATTTTTCTGCAGGTGGTGATGCACTCTAAGAGTTTTATAAAAAAAAAAAAAAAAAATTCTACTACTCTGGTTGATTCTACTGCCATTACTTTGTACCTGGAATATCAAGCCTTAAGAATCTTTACAGAGGAACAGGCCTTTCCCACTCTTCTTTTGTAGACCTTAAAATAGGCAGAGGAATGAAAGGCAGAGGGGAAGGGCAGGGGAGAAATAAAGGGGGAAGCATTTTATTCTAACCTTTCCTAACTCAGAGGGACTGACCAATTCACATCCTCAACCTGAAGATCCTAAAAAAAAGAAAGCTTGTTTTGGGGGTTGTACCAATGAATAAAGAGAGGACCCCAACATCCCTATCTGGTATATACTAGCTTCAGTGGTTGGGGATTTTTCTTAAGGAAGGGTGGGCCTGGCATCCTCTGATGACAGTGACTCTTCTTGACCAGTCCCTTCACTTTTCCTGGGCTCTCATCTTCAAGGGATTATCCAAAAAGGAGCCAATTGGCCTAATGTTCCACAATGTGTTACTGGTGCAGATTGGATGGGGACGACATCAGTTCTGACCCATAACTAAATATTTGGCATTTTATTATATTTCCTCTAGAATGGAAATCTGACTGTAACAAGCCCTTCCAGTTCTTCCCCCCACTTCAACTGTCAATTACCTCTTACTGGCTAGAACATACAGTTCAAAGTTCTTTTTTTTTTATATATATATAAAAGAATATTTTAATTCTTCTCTTCAGAAACTACAAAGACTATACATGATTTGGAAATACATGATTTGGAAATAAGACTGTACCAAAGTTGAATCGTCCATTCTATTCCTTCTCTTTTGCCTGGTCACTCAGAAATATAATATTATCAGCTATGATTATTGTTGCTTGTCGCCTCACATTATTTTTACCCGTGTATTCTCCATAGTCTACTTTCCCTTCAACATAAATTCGAGACCCCTTTTTCACATACTGATAGGCCACATCTCTGAGGCCTGGCCGGAATACTGATATTCTGTGCCATGTAGTCTTTTGACTGACATCACCCATTTGGTATACTTCACTGTCCCCTGATCGCCACATCTCATTTGCTGCTAGAGAAAATATTGTGACTGGATTTTTCCCTTCCACCTGTCTCATGACAGGGTCCTGACCTACTCATCCAAGTAACTGCACACGATTTAAGGATCTTTCCAGAACTAAACTGCTAGCTATTTCAGACTCATGTCTTACAAACTGATGAAGTACCTTAAATACAGGTCTTCAAAACATGGCTTCTACTTTCTTTTCTTACAATCTAATCTTACTCTTCCCGCGGTTCTAGAGCAGCCTCCAAAGTTCTTAGGCTATAGGGAAATTAGAAAAAGAGGAAGCAGAGGAGGGAAAGAAGTTTGCTTTAAAATGTTTAGAAGGGTTCTCTTTGCTTAAACTAAGTTATTCAGGATGGGGTTAGAAGTTATTACTAGTCTCTCTATAGCATCGGTTCCCAATCTGTGGGTTGCAACCAATGAAAATACATCCTGCATATCAGATATTTACATTAAGATTCATAACAGTAGCAAAATTACAGTTATGAAGTAACAACAAAAATAATTTTATGGTTGGGGATCACCACAACATGAGGAACTGTATTAAAAGGTTGCAGCATTAGGAAGGTTGAGAACCACTGCTCTATAGTCTTTCTTTCCTCTATTTCATCCCTTTCTTGTTAGCTTTTATCCCCATTCTGTATCCTAAAACACAAATGTCTCTGCCCCTCATCACTCTCAGCTGCCCTTCCTCCATCTAGTAAAGATAATAAGAGACCAGAAAGAGTTTTTACCTTTAATCTGTATTCTCATTCTGTGACTCACCTCCTATGTGCCACACAGTTGTCTGGGAGTGCACAGAACCAAGATGGGACAGACAAGTGAACATTGTTTTCTCTGTCACATATTCCTTTATTCATTCATTCCAGCAATATTTATTGAGTGTGCACTATCTCCTGGGTAAGGTACTGGGAATACAGTTGTATAAAAGACAAACCTAATTTTAAAGCTGCAGGTGTCAGAACCCATGGACTCTTTGGCACAAAGTGATAATCGTTCAGATGAGAGTCTCCCAGGGATCGGTGGGAGCACAGAGGAGCAGCCCCCAATCCAGAAAACTATGTAATGGAGAACCTCTCTGAGAAGGTTAATATACTTTAATTCTCCCTTCCACCCTGGATTGACCACAGTGGTCTCTGAGCTGAGGTCATTTTCATGGTCCTTCTTTTCTTTTCTTTTCTTTTTTTTTTTTTTTGAAACAGAGTCTTACTTTGTCACCCTCACTAGAGTGCTGTGGTGTTACAGCTCACAGCAACCTCAAACTCTTGGGCTTAAGTAATTCTTTTGCCTCACGCTCCCAAGTAGTTGGAACTACAGGCATGCACCACAACACCCAGCTACTTTTTAGAGATGGGGTCTCACTCTTGCTCAGGCTGGTCTTGAACTTGTGAGCTTAAGCAATCAATCCACCTACCTCACCCTCCCAAGTGCTAGGATTACAGGCATGAGCCACTGTGCCTAGCTTTATGTTCCTTATTTTCCTCATGTCCCACCTCTGTAAAGTTTTTAAAGGTCCAGGCTCTGTAATCAGGTGCAATTGGTAGAAATCCTCATTACCTAAATCCACCTAACTCTTGAAGCATTTTTACATATAAAAATCTCCATTTCCTTATCTATAGAATAGAGATAATTGTAGGGTAGTAGTAAAGTTCTCACATATCATTTTTATCTCACATGTGATTTTATAAATATTAGGCAAAATGACTTGTACAGGCTTTAAAAGAATGCCTGGTTCAGGCAGCACCTGTGGCTCAAAAGAGTAGGGCACTGGCCCCATATACCAGGGCAGGTTCAAACCGGGCCCTAGCCAAAACTGAAAAAAAAAAAAAAAAAAAAAAGAATTCCTGGCTCACAGTAACTGCTTAATATATTTTAGTTATTATTATAATGTATTTTTGGAACCCCTATGCAAAGTAGCATGGAGATATCTTAAAGAACTAAAAGTGGAGCTCAGAGCAAGATGGCAGATTAGAAGGATCTTTAAGCTGTTCTCTCCCAACAATACAAGGGAAAGAGCAATAACCCAGAAATATTGGTGGGAAGAACATACCCGTATTCGCCCCTCATAGGCACGCCACATGGTGGTGGACTGTAGGAGGCAGTGGGATATCCAGAGCTGTGTAGGTCTGACACAGAAGATGAACATATGGGATCTGGCTGGGACCTGCCCTCCTGCCCTTCCATAGAAGGTCCAGTTGGGAGGAAGCCATTCTGTAGTTTGTGGATTTTGGTGGAAAGCAGGCATTGAAATTACTATAGAAAGATGGGGCGAGGGGTGGGACTCCGTGTACAGCCACGGGGTTTGAATACCAGGTGGAGAGGATTTCCCATCAACTTGTTGGCTTGCTGGGCTGCCGTCATGGGAAGTTGGTGGCTGCTAGCTGGGCTGCCATCGTGGGAAGTTCTCTCCACAGGGACCTGGTACATTGCTGATCCTGGCCACCTGCCTAGCTTGGGCATCCACTCCTGTGACTAGTTGAGTTGCTCTCCCATACCCTGGGAATTGTTGTTAGGGGGCAATGTGAGACTTGCCTACCAAGGATTCTGGAGAGTGTTAAGACCCCAACCCAGAAGGAACTGAAAGCTAAGTAAACAATCAGGCACCCACTGAGGGCAACTAAGTAAGGATATCAGGACCTGGTCTCCTTGGCAACTATAGAGTGGTTTCCAGCTGTCTTCTCCACCACCACAGCACCAGCTGATGTCCTACAATATATTATTATATATATATTTTTGTTAATATTGCCCTCTTCTACAATCTTTTTATTTTTATGTTTTTTTTAAATTTTATTTTTTTATTATTTTCTTTTTTAGTGTTTATTTTTCTTTTCTATTTCTGGTTGTTGAGTTAATAGTTATTATGGATATTTGATTTTTTTTTTCTAGTTTTTGGCTAGGGCCAGGTTTGAACCCACCACCTCCAGCATATGGGGTCAGCACCTTACTTCTTTGAGCCACAGGCGCTGCCCGGGTCTTGTTTTGTTTTATGCTGGTTTGGTTGGTTGTATTTTTTTTTTTTTTGACACATAGCCTCAAGCTATCCCCCTGGGTAGAGTGCCATGGCATCACACTCACAGCAACCTCCAACTCCTGGGCTCAAGCGAGTGTCCTGCCTCAGCCTCCCAAGTAGCTGGGACTACAGGTGCCTGCCACGCCTGGCCATTTTTTGGTTGCAGCCATCATTGTTGTTTGGCGGGCCCAGCCTGGGGATTCGAACCCGCCACCTTTGGTGTATGTGGCTGGCGCCTTAGCCGCTTGAGCCACAGGCGCCGAGCCATTGGTTGTATTCTTAATCTCCATTTTTACTTTCTTCAGAGTGAGGGCTCCTGTATTTTTGTTATGGTATCTCAACCCCATTTATTCTCTCTCTGTTTTACTCCTCCCCTCCCCCTTTTTCTTTCTTTGGGTAGAGACTTTTCTACTTATCTCATCTTTTTCACATAAACTTCTCACACAACTACTAAAATATCCTCCTTTTCTATTGTTTGTTTGTTTCCTTCTTTCTGGTTTCTTCTTTCTTCTTTTTTCTTTATCTGAAATAACTATATTTCTAAATTTCCTTATTTTTCTTTTTCTTTTTTCTCTTTTTCCTGAGAGCTGGGTAGTCTCAGCATTGATCTATAGGGGAAATCATGGCAGAGGTCTACCTCAAGGAGGTCATGAGATCTCAGTCTAGGGAAACCTTCTATTTTTGGCCTCTGAAAAGAGCATTGACAAGCCTACATTGCTGAAGTTTTCTTTCTTTTTTTTCCCCCTATTTTTATTTTTTCTTTTTATTTCT